CCCCAAAACCCCAAAACCCCAAAACCCCAAAACCCCGTTTAAAACTTAGAAAATATTAGTGAAAGATTTTTAAAATATCTTTAAATGGAAGCTAAAATTGTACCCTCTGATATTGAAATCAGTCAGGCATCTCCTCTTCAGTAAGCATTAAACTTCCTGCAATCTTTGCTTGTGTGAATAGACCTGATATATCTTTTAGGCCAATAGCCGATATTGCTGAAGCTGCAGGAATTTTGAAAGAAGAAATGATTCCTTATGGAGAGAATAAACTAAAGGTCAAAGGTAAACTATTTCAAAAATTATATAGATGTAAGAGAGAGATTACAGGATCAAAAAGATGGCAATTATGTGGTAGTAACTGCTATCAATCCAACACCTTTGGGTGAAGGAAAGAGTACCACCTTGGTTGGCCTCTCACAAGCTTTGGGAGCCCACTTAGACAAGAAAGTCTTCACTTGCATGAGACAACCTTCACAAGGCCCTACCTTTGGAATCAAAGGAGGAGCTGCTGGAGGTGGATACTCCCAGGTTATCCCAATGGAGGAGTTTAATCTCCATTTGACAGGAGATATCCATGCTATAACGGGTAAGATATGGAGTTTAATCAACTTTAGCTGCTAATAACTTATGTGCCGCTGCTATTGATGCGAGGATGTTCCATGAATCTACTCAAAAAGATTCCCCTCTTTTCAACAGACTGTGTCCAAAGGGAAAGGATGGCAAGAGAAGCTTTGTCCCAGTGATGCTCAAGAGGCTCAAAAAGCTTGGAATTGATAAGGAAGATCCTGATGAATTGACAGACGAAGAGAAGAAAAGATTTGCTAGGCTTGATATCGACCCTGATACAATCACTTGGCAAAGAGTCCTCGATACCAATGATAGAATGCTTAGGAAGATTACTGTCGGACAAGGCGTGGCAGAGAAAGGAAGAACAAGAGAGACAGGATTTGATATCACAGTTGCTTCTGAGATAATGGCTGTACTTGCACTCACCACCTCTTTGCAAGATATGAGAGAAAGATTAGGAAATATGGTAGTTGCCCATTCAAAGGCTGGGGATCCTATTACTACTGATGACCTTGGACTGGGAGGAGCTCTAACTGTCCTGATGAAGGATGCTATTTGGCCAACACTAATGCAAACCATTGAGAAGACGCCTGTATTTGTCCATGCTGGGCCATTTGCAAACATTGCTCATGGAAATTCATCGGTGATTTGAGATCAAATGGCTCTCAAACTTGTTGGTGAAGATGGATATGTAGTCACAGAAGCAGGTTTTGGATCAGACATTGGATTTGAGAAGTTCTGCAACATTAAATGCAAGTACTCAGGACTCAAGCCCAACTGTGCAGTTTTGGTTGTCACTATCAGAGCCCTCAAGAGTCACGGAGGAGCTTCGAAGGTTACTCCTGGAAAGAGTATCCCTAAAGAATATTCAGAAGAAAATCTCGACTTCGTTAGAGAGGGAGCTAAAATAATGCAGAAGCATATTGAAAATGTCGGAAAGTTTGGAATCCCTTGCGTTGTTTGCCTCAATAAGTTCACAAGTGATTTTGACTCTGAAATTGAACTCGTTCTTCAAATTGCCAAGGAATCTGGAGCCTTTGATGCTCAGTTGAGTAATCACTGGGCTGATGGAGGAGCTGGCGCAGTAGATCTTGCCAATAGTGTGATTAGTGCTTGTGAATCAACTAAGGAAGAGAACAAATTCAACTTTTTGTACAAATCTGATGCCTCAATTGTTGAGAAAATGGAGACAATTGCAAGAGAAATCTACGGAGCTGACGGCATCGAGATAGAAGAGGAGGCAAAGAAGCAAATTGAAGTCTATACTAAGAATGGTTGGGACTCTCTACCAATTTGTATGGCGAAGACTCATTTATCTTTGACATCAGATCCATCTAAGAAAGGTGTCCAGAGTGGGTTTAAAATCCCTATCAAATCAATCAGAGCTTCTGTTGGAGCTGGGTTCCTATATCCATTGTGTGGAGACATTATGACTATCCCTGGGTTGCCAACAAGACCAGGTTTTTATGATGTGGATATTGACATTGACACTGGAAAAATCCAAGGACTTTTCTAACAAGTTCATCAATATTATTAATGTGATAAGGGGTTTTGGGGTTTTGGGGTTTTGGGGTTTTGGGG